AAACGGGCTAAATAAGGGAGACGGGGGTTGCGTTGTAATTGAAGAAGTTAAAGGCCCATGTATACAATTAACTGATTGGGGTCATGTTGTATTTTTAAAGTGAGGATCTGTCATGCAATTTTGGATATTGAAGGACCTGATTTTAAATTTTTAATGTTAGATCCCAGGAGAAAATGTAACTTTTGTAAAGGTATTAAATTTGAATTCTAGTTAAAAGGGTTTTAGAATTATATTTTAGATGGATTTGATCTACGTTTTAGTTTTGACCCAACTAAATGTTTATTGACCCCTTTAAAATCACATCGATGATGATGATGATGATGATAATAATAATAATAATAATAATAATAATAATAATAATTGGCTTTTTTTTTTGGTTAAAATGTTTAATTCAGTTATTGTTATTCTTTGTTTATTTAAATTCCGCCTTTCAAATATTGAAATTTTGTTATCAATTTTGTCTATCAATCACATATAAATTTTCGCCTTTTATCAATTGATGATTATAGTTTGTTACATAATTATTGTTCTGTGATTTAATTTTTCATGGGGCTTTGAGAAGATTCTTATTTTTCCACTAAAAGAGAAATATTTTGAAATAAAAATGGGTGGTAACTACCAAAATGGCACACTCATTATTATTTATTCGATTTTCTCTACAATAAAAATATATATTTTTTTGTCCAATAATTTTGATTTATTGCATATAATATCTTGTCTAAAGGTGTTATTATATGTGATATTTTTTGAAAAATGGCATAAGGCAATTAACGAGTTTGCCTTGGTCTAGAAATATCATTCTGTCTAAAGGTAATGGAATTTCGAAAACCAATGTAATTTTACTAACTAGCTATATGATGTGTTTTAAGAGTACATTATATCATATTATATTATCAGCCCAAATGTGACTTTATGATAATGCATCTAGGCTCTTACTGTAATAACATTCATATGATTTTGATTTTAATTATGGATTTTCTAATTAATAACCCCTGTTAATTAGATGGATATTTTATCATCCATTTGACCACATGCATTATGTTTGGATGATATGGAGTACAATATTTTATGTTTTCATAATTTATAATGCCTCGTCTCTTTTGAGTCAATTGTCTGCTATTGAAATCTTAACTGAAAATAATTATGTGAGATGGAAACGAGACGCGAAGATAGCACTTGGTCTCTTAGGCTTGGATTTACAATGGGAAAAAAGCTTGAGAAACCCACAGATGAGAGCACTGTTGAATATGTAGCCGAGTATGAAAAAAAAAACTAATAAGCTTTGTTTGAAAATTATTAAGCACTCCATATCCGATTCCATTATGGGTGCTATCCCCGGTAATGAAAATGTCAAAAGTTTTATGGATGTCATAGGGGAAATTTATTGAGTCTGATAAAGTCAAAACTGGGAATATGATGGATAAATTGATGAACATGAAATATGATAGTATAATTGGTGTTAGGGAGCATGTCATTAAAAATGATAAATATATTATCTAAACTAACGGCTATTAACATTCATATTGCAAAACCCTTCTTGGTCTATCGTGATTTAAATAGCTTTCTTCCCCAGTTTAATCAGCTTAAGGTTGCTTATAATGCTCAACGGGATAAATAGGATTTGAATGACCTTATAGCGGTGTGTGCCCAAAAAGAGTGTATGACGTGTCCTGAGACTGTTGAAATGGTGCACCTAGTTTTTCAGTCATCACAAAACAAGGGGCCTTCTCATAACCATAAGTCTAAGTTTCATAAGGGCAATAAGTCACATCGAAATCAGCATAATAGAAATTTTGAGGGTCAGACTTCTAGTGGTCCTAAAGGAATTATAAAGAAAACTTATCAATGCAAGTTCTACAAAAGGAAGGGTTACCGACGGAAAGACTGTCTTAAGTTTAGGACCTGGTTGGAAAAGAAGAAGAGTTCTGCAGGAGTTCACAGGCAAACGGAGGCCAAGTGAGAATGAAGTGATCTCAAGCGTTGAAAATGGAGTTCAAGTGAAGGTTGAATCATAATATAATTTTTGTATCGCAAGTGAGACGGGATTTAATTTCTAAATTGAAACTTGATGCTTGTGGTTGTACCTTCAACTTTGGTAATGGAAACGTTGAGTTATTTTATGGTTTTCGTTTGATTAGGAATGGACTTTTATGTGATGGTTTATATAAATTGTCTTCAACTCCTTTTGGTGAAGTCTCGTGTGTTACCAATGTATAAAAAAATGGCTTTAATTTGTGAATCGTCCTCTATGTTGTGGCATAAGCGATTAGGTCACATTTTGATTGATAGAATGCAAATATTAGTAAAAGTTGAGATACTTTGTGACACCCCGAACTTAAGTTTCGAGTGTCACGTACTAAACATAATAGTTTCTGCCTTTGGTACATGTAAATACTCTTAAATAGAAGTATTGCACGTTAGAAACTTGTTTTCAACTTGGTAAAATGTCTCTCATAACTTTTTAATGGCCCACAGAAGCGCATGTCGACAAGAAATTATACTTTACATATACGGACTCTCACTGCCACGGTTAGTTGGGGCAGCAAGTTCGACTATTTTTATAAAATTCATCCCAACTCCGTTTTCTATGAAATTTACGACATTAGAAATATATTTTCAAGTAGTTTTCTAGGTTAAAATATAAAAGTTTCCAAGATCATATAATATGGGCGTTTTACTCAAAACAGTGAGGTATTGCACAGAAATTTCAGATTTGACCCTTCAACGTTTAAAAATTCATATCTCAGGCTACAGATATCCAAATTGAGTGAATCTTATGTCCATATTAAGAAAACTCAATGAGGAACGCAGTAATATTTTCAGTCTCTCAAATGGACATTTATGGAGTAAAAAATAACGTGTTTAAGTTGACCTAAAAACTGTCTCGTTTCTGCCTTTTGTCACTTGCAAGGAGAAGTTTTTTTTCAAAAAGGTCTATTAACACAACATAGAAGATATAATTGCTTAATTTACTTCCGGTACCATATTACATCATGTCTCATACATGTTTTTATACAATACCATACGAAAACATACGGAAAGCAATCGGACAAAACATGCAAAAAAAAAAAACTTCGATGCAAAACAACCTTGTCCTTAACCCATCATCGATTATGCCGACTGGCTTCCACCAACTCCGCAATTATGAATCTGAGAATTTAGTATAGAACATTATGAGTATAAAGAATACTCAGTAAGATACCATACTTGGATTTTAACATGTTAATACTACACAAAAGAATGCAATCAAACACATATTTGCACATTCCGGCTTGCCGGTGCCCTTCGGACTTGTCCTAAGGCATAAATAGATATCTAACTTTGTGGACTTGTCCACCACATTCATATTATGGTTTTTCATTCATAGCTTAAGCATAAATTTTACCATGAAATCAAACCACTTAAGCATAGAAAATATCTTACAATAAAACTTGAAGAAATCTTGGTTGAAAATGAATTGAGAAATGCTAGGCTGGTCCTCTTCTTCCCTCACATTTTCTACCCTTTTTAAACAAGTGATAAGTTGTTTTTCATGCAAGGGAAATAAAGGGCAGCAACACATCTATTTATAGGTGAGAAAAATGATAAATTTTGGGTGACTCTTCAACCAATTCTACACGTGGGCAGCATGAAAGAAAATCTTAACTTCAATTAAACACCTATGCATGCCTTTAGCCACCACATGCTTAAGTTAAAACACCTCATGCATGCCTTAGCCACCACATGCTTAAGTTAAAACACCTCATGCATGCCTTAGCCACTTCATGCTTAAATTTAAACAATTCATGCATTGGCTAGTCACCTCATGCTTAAATCTAAAACACCTCATGCATATATGTTTCATCAGTTTTTCGGCCAAGTTTGAGAAACAATGTTTAACTTTAGTAATTAGGTGTAAAATGGACATTTATCCCAAACCCCTAATTAACAAATTATTTGGAAAACTTTTAATAAATCAACCAATGCAAAAGTT